ACACACACACACACACACACACACACACACACACACACACACACTGGGGATGTTATCAGCCTATTTACTTGTGTTACCAAGGTTTAATTGCCTTCTATTATTAATAAATGTCTAGTAGTCATCAGGATAATGGCATGAAGAGGTCTTCTAGTTTAAATCCCAAAATCATCTAATGTAAACTAAGATGATATAATTTTCAGTTATTTTTAAACTGAATTTCACCTTGAAATGGTTGTACTTAGCCTGTAGCACTGCACAAGAAAAGGACAGTAAAAACCCATTCAACTGGATCTCTCTTGTCAGATTCTTTAATTATATGACCTTATTGTGTTTCCTCTGTGCTTTCTTTGGAGAGACTGTATAAGCAAACTATGACCATTTCTCATACTTCAAATTAAAAAAAAAAAAAACAAGAGAGAAGGAAACGTCTGGATTATTTTATTACCACTGTGTAACCGTCACTGGAGTTTGGAGTAACAAGACAATAGTCACTGATGAAAGATTCAGCCATGTCCACTATCTAGTTTCCTGATTTCATTTTGGCAGAAAATCACCCAGCATATTTTAATGAAGACAAATGAACCAAAAACTCAACTAAACTTTCACCCTCTGTTTATCCCGATATATTATTCCATTTTCTCCCAATTTTTTCTCCCTGATTGTTGGCCAAAACTCCAGTTATCGATCATGGGATATACCTGCCTCAGGGAATAATAAATTTCGCATAATTTGCTGTTGTTCTTCTAATGTTTGTTAATTTGTTTAAGTGGCAAGACACACATTGGGAATTTCAAAAAACAATATCCAAACTATTAATGAATTGCTCAAGTGGGAAAAATATGAGAAACATACATTTTTTTGGCTTTTGCACATTATTAAGACCAAATTCTTGATTTGCTCTTTAGTTGCAGATGGAGGAATAATTTTCTCTTTGATAATAGGGCACAGTTGTTTTATTTTTTTAATGCCACAGTAGTGTTATTTTTGGAATATGATGTAGTGGCTATGCTTTTCTACTGTATCAGCTTAATTAATACATAAAAAATAAAAGATATTTCTATGTTGTACTTTATGAAGGCAACCTCATATACAAGAGACATGTGGTTTCTTACAAGCAAAATTGCTATGGAGGCATAATAATTGTGCAATAAAATATAGAAGGTCATCTCTTAAGATTCTTGGAGTCTGAAAAATGATCTACCAAGAGTAAAAAGAGGCCAGAAATAAAAACAGATATGATTTCTAGTTTTACTTAACATGAAAAAGCAATATTTAGAAATTATTTTAAAATTGGCTTAAAATAATGTACAGCACCAATTACAGAAAGAGAAACTTGTAACTATTACTGAAGAGATATGGAAAACTGTAAGAAAAACAATGAATAATAAACCAGAGAATTACTAGGAGAGCAGAAAAGACATTTTATGTCTCAGGGGCATAAAAATGGGGATACAGAGAGCGCTGGACTGTTGCTAAGCAAAATGCTTGAATAGTCTTCCAAAGTGAGTAAAATTGATTAGAGAACCTGACTTTTTAATTTGTTTCCCACCAATCTGTAGAAATGTAAGAGGTTTGGGGAAAATTTGTAAGGGCCAGATTAATGAGGAAACCAATCGAGAGTTGAAGGGTGCTGTACCAGATCAGCTGCTGGAGCTCCACTAAGAAAGATGTCTTCCTATGAGGGCTGACTTCCTCATTCATATCTTAGAAGCATGCATGTGCATTTGTGTGTACCATTAGATTTACTTTTCTAGCACAGGCAGTCCACTAGGCCCTCCTGCCTTTTGGGGGAGAATCTGCCTTAAATGACTATTAGCCATAAAAATGTGCTTAGGGCTGAGACAAGATGTCAAAGTCCTTCTGAGATCTAGGTAAATTTCTAGGACATCAATTATCCTCTAGGTGGAAAAGTTGCTGCTTATTATGTGTTGCTACTGCTGTTATAGACAAAGGTATTTACAGTTAAAGATTTTAAAAGAGATGCACAAACGCTCTGAACATTTTCTTTCGCTCAGCTCCTCAGGTCGAAACACAAGCAGTCAGATTTGCCTGTCTAGTTCATCGTCCTGCTCTGATCCGAGTGAGTCACACACCTGGTCAGCTCTGACAAGGAACAGAACATTTCATCCACGTTCGGATTCTGGAATATCATCCCTGGTAAATATGCTTAATTAGCTCTTTACATAGGGCTATGTTTATAAAATGTACTTTATGTTATATTGAACATTTTTTATTAAGTGTGTAAGCTTCTTAAATCTACCCTTGTAACTGGGGAGGAATGAAAGGTTGATACTCTCAGTCCCAACTCTGAGAGGAGATGGAAAGAAGCTGGAATGGAGGAAGGAAGACAAAGGTGGAGATGAATAGAAAAGGTAATGACCACAAAAACAGAAATGGCATGCCTTCCTCTCCCCACCTCTGCATTCAAATTCTGTCTCTAGTCTAAGATTTATCTCCTTTCCTTCTGGAATGTCCTTTGTCCACAAAATACATTTTTTTCCTTCCAAACTCACCACTTTCAAGACTTTTTCCTAACCCATCTCAGTGGAACCATGTGTGATTTTCCCTCCTTTCCTTTATTTATCATTGTTCCATCTATCCAACATTAGATCCAGATGAGTCACTCAAATATCTGCCTCCCAAATTATAGAAAATGAGTTTTTCAAGCACAAATGCCAAATTTTATTTAACTTTAAATCCCTGGTGCCTGATACACAGCAGGGCACAGTATATATTTTTGAATAAATGAATGAAATAAAATGAAGCATAGCAACTTTGAAAATATTTATTGAACCAATGGATTAATCACTTGGTCCATCAGAATTAAAAAAGGAAAAACAGGGGCGCCTGGGTGGCTCAGATGGTTAAGCGTCTGCCTTCAGCTCAGGTCATGATCCCAGGATCCTGGGATTGAGCCCCACATTGGGCTCCTGGCTCAGCAGGGAGCCTGCTTCTCCCTCTCCCTCTGTCTCTCCCCCTGCTCATGCTCTGTCTCTCTCTGTATCTCTGTGTCTCAAATGAATAAATAAAATCTTCTAAAAAAAAAGGAAAAACAAAAAGACACAAATATTCACTATTCCTTTAGGAAGAAGCAACAGTCACTCAACTGCAGCACGTTGACAACCTTACAGAAATATAAACAAAAAAATGCAATGGCTCATTTTCCTACAAGGTCAGAAATTGTGAAATCAACCACATACCTCCTTTAAAAAGCAAACAGTTTTGTACAAAATTGGATGACAGTTGAAAAATGGAAACTTTCTTCTCAAACACAGCTTTAGGTTAGGTTCTTTTTTTCCCAGTAAGATCATCATGAAATAGCACAAGAAGGCAATGGGGTGTGGCAACTCCAGGGAGTTTAACTTCTAAGAAATTTTTATTCTATGATAGAAGCAAGGAAAAAAAAAATCCAAAAGCACATTGGAAGTTGGGGAAAAAACTTCCATAAACTTGTGAACTGAATGACCAAGAATAGTCCAGGGACCACATTCCTCTATAACCTTAAATTTGTGCTTCTTGGTTTTTTAAAGACTATTTCTAAAGAATGAGTGAATTCCTTGAAAGCATGTTAGCAAATCCTCAGATTTTCTCAAAGAATTGCTCAAGCATTAATTAGCTTTTTCATGTTGCTGTAAATAAGGTAGAGAACTTTTGTTATTAGTTTTATTCTTTAAATGAAGACATTGAAATACTTACTGGCACCACCATGGTCATTCAGTGAGTAAGCAATAAAGATCAAAAATCAAAAATAAATGCTTATTAGAAAGCCACCTCCTTTCAATTTATTTTGAGTCAGCATGTTCCAAATTCTGCTTCACAAAATGCATGAGACCCGTGTGCGGCTCCAAGAATAAAAGGTTCTATGATTTAAAAGTCCACGGGAACACTTTGTGAATATAGACTCACAATGTATATTAGCATAGAAAGGCTCTGTGGAGTCCTGTAACAAAGAGAAACGCTTAACTCAGTTTAATCCAGAGCCTCATAAGCTTATTCAGTGGTGGAAATATTTTTTGTTGGTATTAGACACACAAATTTACAGCTCAAGCAAAACATAAGCTATGTGAAATGCTGCTCTGTGAGATGAAAGGAGTTGTTCCAAATACCCTAATGACCTTTCTTTATGTCAAAAATTCTGGGGCTGTTTGTCTATGTGTACAAAACTGGCTAACTGGAGATCGAATCTGTGGTGTATTTAACACAATGCTCTTTTCTGAGTAATATGCCTTTTGTTTGTGTTAAATTTGAAACTATCATAAGCTATATAAGATACAGGGAATTGTGATTGACTACAACTTCAATAATAGTAAACAATATAAAATTGCCCCAAATATGGTCTTGGCACATATTCTGGTCAGTAATATACTGTCCGGAACGAGGAAGATGACTAGACCTGAAATATTTCATTCACTACTGGCTACACATTTTAAGAGGAATGTCAATAAATTGGAACTCTTCCCAAGGAGAATCATATGTTCTTGTTGGATAGTTAATAATCTATAAACCATGATCTGTAAGAATTGTATGACTTAGGAAGAAGATGACGACTGTTACAAACACTTAATATAGTAGACATGTGTGGCTTCTGTGTAGCCTCAAAAGGCAGAACTTTCACAACTGGAGCAAGTTAAAGAGGCTATGGGGCCCATACAATAAAGTAACTTCAACAATTAGAACTGTTATAAAGTGGGAAATGGAATGAGATTTCTCAATCTAAATAAACCAGGTAATTTTATAAATTTTATAATTTTATTAAGCATTTTAAATTTGGTAGAATAAACCAATGTTGTATTACTCCTTTATATTCTATCAGATTTTATAAATGTACTAGTGTTACCAGTATGAAGCATTGTTATCTGTAGCCCCTAATATACATTCAATAAATATTAAAGGATGATTTATCAGAGGTGGTGTAAAGTGGATCCATGAATGGGTACACATATGTATTTCTGTTGTCATTTACCATTAAATATAATTTAGAATGAACTAAAGTGACTTCTATAAGGACACTGTTAGGTACTTGGAGTTCAATTTGGCTGAATGTTTGGCAATGATTTGTGTTACTTTTACACATAAAAGTAAATGAATCACATATTGCCAGATGCTATTTCTCTTCTCTCGTATTTTAAAGCTTCCATCAGACTCTTTTAAGCACCTCACTTGGCACAAGGTAGAACAACATGACATTCAAGGAAGTCAACTGCGTTGCCCAAGAGTAAGAGAAGGTAAAGAACAAATATATGTATCTTTGTGTGTGTGCTCTAAGTAGATTTTATTTGTGGATGAAAAACATTGCTTGGGGGAAAAAGATATTACTTAGAGAGAAAAATTTCCTTTTTCAAGACCATAGAATTACTAATATAGCTAGTGAAGCCACTTTAAAGCACATTCATATATCTGATTATATAAATAATAAATGTTCAGTATTAAATCCTGGAAAAACAGAAAGATAAAAAAGAATCTGTAATTCCACTATCCAGAAATAACCACTGTGACTTTTATTTCCATTTAGTCTTTTTTGAAAAATATATACACATACTTCCTTACAAAATTATACAATTTTGTTTCTTGAGTTTTTCCACTTATGTTGTTATTGTGAGCATTTCTTCTATGTTAGTAAACATTACCCAAAATGTGGTTTTTAAAGGTTGCATATTTCTCCATCATATGGATATTATTAAATATATTTAACCAATGATCTTTGTTGGAATTTTTGTTTATTTACAATATTTCATGATCATGAATGACACTGTCACTTCAATGAATAACTTTAACCTGATTTAATTCTACCCATTGGTTTTTAAAACACCAAGTGGGAATCTAAATAAACCGGATAGTTTCATTTTATATTTTCACTAAGCATTTTAAGTTTGGTAGAACAAACCAATATTTTACTCTTCCTTCTCATTCTATCAGATTTTATAAGTGTACTAGTGTGACAGTATGAAGAATTGTTATCTGTAGACCCTAATACATAATGTTTGATTTTTTTATAATTAGCTTTCAATAGATTCTATATTATGTAAGAACAGGCACCATGCATTTCTCATGTCTCTTTTGCATATCCTATAAGCTGATGAGATAATATTAGACATAATTCTGACTCCAGTATTTAGTCTTTATAAAACATCAAATATCTTGGCTATCTTCCATCCGTATTTGCAGATTTGCCATTATATTGTATATTGTATAATTGTAATATTGATTTAGAACAAGTTGCTTTAAATATTCACCTGCTCATTTCCCTCTCTCAATGGCATTACTTTACCATACAATGCCTTTCTTCTTTCACTCAAACTCAGTTGACAAAGGCAGGTTACAAGAGCATCATTTTCTGAAACACTGAATAAAATATGTTCTTATGTTTCAACTCTGTCAGCTCAGTTTGCAGCTAAGTATTGACTCCTATTTTTAAAATATTAGTAGATAGTACTACTAGAGGTAAACTCAAGTTGTCCTGTGGGGACCTGAGAGAGAATATTTTTCAAAGAGCCAGAAATTACGGGGAATTAGGAAGAAAGGAGACCAAAAAAGTGGAGACCATGTGTGTCACATAAGTAAGAAGTCTACAGGCAAAAAGGAAGAGATGGCTATACCAGGGACCATGGTGGGCAGGGTTCAGCTGGTTCTTAAACTCTAGTGTCAGGACAGACCACCCAGAGGCTTGTAGAAAATGCAGTTTTCCAAAACCTTCTCTCAAAGAATCTGATGTAATTAGTATGAAGGGGGCCCAGAAATTTGATAATTGTAAAATTATCAAGAAATTCTGTTACAGATGATCTGAGGGCCACAGTATGAGAAACGCTAGTTTAGGAAGTTTGAAGGGAAGAAATTGGAACTGAAAGTGAAAAGATTGATACAATAAGGGTTTTGGCATTTCTGTGTGTGTGTGTGTGTGTGTGTGTGCGCACGCATGTGTTGGTGGTGGTGGTGGTATGGTGGTTGATGGTTGATGGTTGTGCTCTAATGAGGCAAAAAGAAATTGTATTCTGAGCATGGGTGGAGAGTTGAAGTTTAGAGGGAACTGCCAAACTGAAGACATTGGGAATAAAATATAGGAGTAAACTGAAAATGAGTATGTGTAAAGAGAATCCAGTGGCCTCCCCGCTTCCCTGATTTAAGTGCCAGGTCATGTGCTGAGGCCATCAGTCAACAAAGCCAATCCCACATAAGGACCACGGTGGCCAGTCATGCAGAGGACACCATTGCTCTGCAGATAAGGCACATTTTCCTTCCATAGACCATTAATAAAACCCAATCTCTCGCAAGTGACTAGTTGTAAAAGGAATGGAGCATGATCTAGGGGATGGAAAACATTGGAACATCCCACCACCTTGAACTGTGAAGAACATAGATGTCCCTTGTTCATTGCCTTTCATTTTGTTTAAGTTTTGTTTGTGCATGTGTGAGATGGAGAACAAGTGTTCTCAAAAGCATTCTAATAACAATTACCCTCCTTCTAGATTAGATCCTGAAACACCCATCAAAACTACTTCAGTTCACCTCAGTTGTACATCTGGGAAGAGTTCTTAAGAGAAGAAAGTTATCTGGTGTGTGACAAACAGCAATTTCCCAAGGCTTTGATGGCCAGATCAAGACTGACTTAACTCCTCCCAATTAAATGAAGCAAAAGAGCCAACTGTTGGCAGAATTCTTTTAAACTATAGATGCTTTCTACTTGAAAATCCCTCAGCAAGTTAATTCAGTCATTTCTGCTGAGTTACAAATCCAGTGAGGGGACAAAGAACAAATTCAGAGATAGCAGGAGAAAGCCAACATTCCAGGGCTGTCAGAGATTCCAGACTATAGTTCTAAACTGCTAAGATATATCTTCAATTATCAACCATGTCTGAGTTTTAAAAAGAAAGAATCCAATTTAATATAACTCCTCACAGTGGAAGTGACCTTTGGCTTCCAACTTCAAAGAAATCTTTGAAAGCTGCTTTAAAAAAATAACTGAAAGAGCAGAAGATCGATAGAACTCAAACAAACAATATAGGGCAGAGTTTAATAACTCTGGGGGTATCTGTTGCACAAAGTAAGCTACCAAATTTGGGGGCAGTCGTATTGCAGACAGTAGAGCCTGAGGTCTACCCAGTCAATTAGATAATCGTCTAGTTTTCCAATTCTGTGACTTTTAATTCCAATCAGCCTAATCAACCTAGAAGAACATTTCTTAACACAAGGATGTTTTATTGTTAGGATACTTCAGGGTTATGTGATTTCCTAGGTGGCAACAGTACAGTTCATTATGAGAGAAATGCCTGAAAGGTCAGGTTGCACCTCGGCTTCCACCTGCGTCTGAGGAAAGAACTGATATTTGTGTCAAAATAACAAAACATTGGACTCTTTTATTGCCTTCCATAAATCCTTCACAAATGGACTCATTATCTCCCATCAGAGCCCAGACAAGACTGTCACAAAAGCAAAGTTTGTTCCTGATGCCTGTAGTAACCTCTTTAGTATAACTCTTTCTTTTCACCTCTGAACTGAGAATCACACATTCCAGAAAAATGTAGACAGGGAAGGGTGCACAAATGGTACCAGGTAGGACTCATGGAAACACAGATGCTGGAACTGGGAGGCAATTGAAATCACTGAGCTTAGGATTGCTGTCAGGGGTCCAGTTAATATCACAACAGACTGAAGTTTGCCTGGGTAACACAATAGAGCTGTAATTTCTCAGAGAGAAATACATCTTATCAGTATTTTTACAAAGCATTATGAACTTCAAACAAACATAATTTCTCATCGTACTCAGCTGATGTTGGGCTCCTGATGCTAGTCTTCCCTGTATTTTGGCAGCTATGGAAAACTAAAGTGCAGAAAATTAAAATTAGTCATCTGGAGTCACACAATCACCTAGCACCCAACTTCAGACGGTAGACAGGATCTCCTTTCCCTAACCATGGAAATCTTGTGCAAGCCTGATTTGGAGGACAGCAGGATTAGGAAATAGTGGGAAATGAATTTGGAAATGGAGACTGAGATAAGATTGTGGAAAACCTTGCTTGGCAAGCTGGAATTTTCCATCTCTAACTGGTAGGCAGTGAGAAATTCTGAAATGTTTTAAACACATGAGTGTGGCAAAAGCTCTGTTTTAGGAAAGCTGGATGGCCATGTGTGTCATTTATATTGAAGGAGAGATGATTGCCAACAAGGTGATCCAGGAGAAAGGAGCTATAGTTCAGGTAGGGAGATACGAGGGTCTAGACACTGAAGAGAAGCGGGGCGGATTCTCAAGGGGGAAGTGACGGAACCAAGTGGCTAATTGAGTCGAGAGACAAGAGAGGGAAAGTCATGAGTCACATCCCCAAAGAGAAAATTATATAAAGACTAAAATCACTCTACTGGTGATTTTCTTACCTACCTGCGTTCGAAATACTTTCCGTAGGGGTAAAAGTTAACTTATTTTGTTACTGCTCACGCTCTTGGGGCACAATGTGGGCCAACTCATGTTTTCCTCAATCCTGATATCGAGTAGAAGTTTAAAACAACTGGCCAAATATCAAGCGAAGGTATCAGTCCTGCCACCATAAACCTACTTCCAAGATCTCACCTTGTGATTTCTGCCCAGGACCCTCCACAGAAGAGTTGCTCTTCAGACAGGAGGAGTGTACTTTGCCTGCTCGGAAAAGAGTCCTTGAAAAAAACAAATGGGAAACATGGCTACAAGAAAACTGGGAAGACTGCACGGTGAGAGCTTAAAAGACAGGAAAAAAGTCTCTTTTCAGCATTGATTCAGTTATGACACCCCCCCGCCCAAGGGCAGTATCAAAACTCTAAGCATTCGTTCGCCATTTTCTCTAAAACTAGTGGTGTTTGGGCTTCTCCACCTCTTTGTTCACCTCTTCTTCATCATGACATGTTTCTTATTTTCTAACCTATATCTTATCCTAATATTGCTGAACTTCGGAAAAGTTTAAAATACTTGAGAATGAAATTGTTCCTTTTGATAATAATAAGTGTCAAATGTTGGACAATATTCCTCATCAAAGAGTTTATGATGCAATCTGGAATCCCTTGAACAATGCAGTAAGCCAAAAAGTTTGAACAGCTGGAGCAGCCAGCCTGGTCTGAACAGAACTATCCAGGAACAAATAAAGCTTTTTACCAGTGAAAAACAGGAGCTGTGATTTGTTGGTGCTTAAATGGACCCAGCTGGCAGAGCTGCTAACATTGAAACAGCCCCTGCCCTACGTCAGCCGGGGTGCTACAAAGCTATGGGACTGAGGTTCCTCAAGCCTCTAATTCCGGCTGGCTCCAGTCATGGTAGGCAGAGAACTGAGGGTGTAACTGGGAAGGATGTGTTGCGAGCAATAAAAGAGTAAATCAACTTCTTGGCAACAGAGTGGGATGCCAATATTTTTGTCTTTTGGAGTGATCAAAGTGTACGTGAAGAATTTAGGAAGTCTTCCAGAAATAAGACTCAGTTTAAAACCTGCTCACTGGGGCCTCTTGATGCCTCTTTTGCTTCACAGTTTGACCTTAGATGTTGTAGCATTATGGCATTACAGGGCGGGAAGGAGCTTCAGAGAGGGTCTGCTCTAAATCCCTTCCTTTCAAAAAGGAAAGGTAAGTCCAGAAAGGCATGATTTGCCCAAGGTTGTACATCTTGGTAGTGGAAGATATAAAAGTAGAATATTGTTTCCCCTGCATGGTGCTTCCTTTTCCTTTTAGAATTTAAAATTCTCATATATAATGGGTAGATATATTCTACTCTTAAAAATTAAACCGTACACCTATTTATTTGTTTAAAAAATTTAAACGATATACCTGAAACTTTGACCTCCATTCCCAGAACTACCTTTAGAGGTAATCATTTCAGTATATATATGCATTCATTCTTTATAGCTGCCATTTAAACTATGGATATATTGTAAAGGCCAGTGGAGCCTTCCTAATAAATTATCATAGAAAATTTAATTGGCCTTCAGATAACTGTACTCTAAGAGAAGGGCTAAATAAATTCTTACTACCATAGAAAACTTAATTGGAACATAGTGGTCCAAAAAAAGCCTTTCTGAGGAGGTGACATTCAATATAGAGATAGATATAATCACTTATCATTTCTTAAGTTTTATTTCAAAATTAAGACCTTTTATACTTTTGGAAATGGAACTTAAAGTATCAAAGTTCATGTTTAATGTGTAAAAATTTTAAGACCTTAATGATCTTTTTAAAGATAGAGATATCTATATTTCTTTAAAATAGTAAATTATTGGGGCACCTGGGTGGCTCAGTCGGTTAAGCGTCTGCCTTCGTGATGCCAGAGTCCTGGGATTGAGCCCAGCATCGGGCTCCCTGCTCAGCAAGAGCCTGCTTCTCCCTCTCCCGCTCCCCCTGCTTGTGTTCTCTCTCTCTCTCTCTGTCAAATAAATAAATAAAATCTTTAAAAAAATAGTAAATTATTTTGATTCAAATTTTTTTAAAAGGGGATTGCCATTTTATTCAATAATTTTATTGAAAGAAGTAGGAAGGCAAAAATGAAGGGCGGGGAATCGGAGGGGGAGACGAACCATGAGAGACTACGGATTCTGAGAAACAAACTGAGGGTTCTAGAGGGGAGGGGGGTGGGGCATTGGGTTAGCCTGGTGATGAGTATTAAGGAGGGCACGTTCTGCGTGGAGCACTGGGTGTTATACACAAACAATGAGTCATGGAACACTACATCAAAAACTAATGATGTAATGTATGATGACTAACATAATAAAACAAAATTTTAAAAAATGTAAAAAAGAAATTGATGGCAAAATTGTGGAAATAAAATAAGCTGACTTTTAGGAATAAAGTTTACAAGGGCAATGCTGCCACCAAAAGTGGCTTTAATTTTCTTTATATCAAAGCTGACTGATGTTAAAAGCAAAAATAAAATATCTAGTATCTGTTAAATGTGGTAAAGTCATTTTTACGTATGTATCCCTAGCTACTTTAAAACAAAATAATAGCTCCATCTTTTGAATGATGGTATCTTTTTGAAATCTTTTAATTATTATTTTTAGGTGTCATTTTTTCTTTAAGAAGAAAAGGGGGGACAACACTAATTTTCATAATACACGGAAGACAAGTTAGCACAGGGGTAGGATGGGATGAAATTTTTTCAAATGTGATTTTTGAGTATTTCCAAGGAGGCTAAGAATAACTAATCATTTAAATCAGTAATTCCAAAACAGAATTTTATCCCTTCCACTCTTTACCCTTAGAAAATTTCAGAATCAGTTTCAGGATCCTGCCTTCCCCACCTCCAACCTTGTATGTAATTCTAATCAGGATCAGGTCAGGATCTTCACCTCCCCTACCTTAACAATGAATTTCTGCCACATAATTGTGAGTGTTTAGATGTGTGTTTTAGTGTGCACACCAAAAAACTACTGGTTTAAATAACATATACAACACATTTTTAAGTAATAACTATTTTTAAAAGTTGATAAAAGAACTTGCTTTTACTTTTTATTTATTTTTCCCTTCAGAATTTGAACCTTTCATTTCAGGATTTGGGGGACCCTTATCAAGTTGCAAATTTTAACAGGATTCTTAGAAGACTAATTCGAGTTGAAACCCTCTGGTTAGTGGATAATTCACTGGTGGACTTAAGTACCGTAAGATTACCAAGGTACCTGCTCTTTAGCCTGTCTAGTTACTAAGTTAAAGTCAAATATTTGCTATTTGGGCATATGGGATCACTGTCTGTACCTACTGTGGCCATATGGTCAGGTCTTAAGGTAATAGTGCTAAATGAGACCTGGGCAAGGCAAAAAGGGAAATTTGTACATCATAATGTCACACTTTAGAGGGAAAAAAAATCTATTCCTTTCCAAATTAATATTATCATCAATTTTTAGAGGAGTAATTTGTAATCAGAGAATCATACTGGCAGAAAAACTTGCCGTATCCCTTGTATTGTACACTGGAAATGCAATTACATTATATAAATACTACTGTTGTAACGTAGACATTTTTAATCATATTTGTTGAGCAGCTATGAGGACAGGCTCTACAGGTAGTTAACAAGAGTCTTGGTTTCAAGGTCACATTCTAATGGAAGGGTGAGGGTAGCCAATCAGAATAACAACAGAAACAAACTAAAAGTTTTTTAAAAATATATGGACTCTTCGGTTTTCCAAAGATCCCAAACTCCTGACATTAAAGATAATCTGCCTTTTTGCTCAGGATCGCTTGAGAACTCCTTTTGTAGAGAGCTGCTGTCTGCCTCACCAGGCCGAATGGGTAGGTGGAGTGACGAGAAGTGGGAGATAAAGGAAACCAAGCAGCCACAAGAAGGAAGGGTAAATCCTAGAGCTGGTTAAGGTACATCTCTGAGCATGGATAAAAAAAAAAGACCATCCCAGTCACACAGGAGAGGGAAGCAGTCAGGAAATGGAGGAATATGCAATGTGCCTCGGTATCTTCAGTCCTTTCCAAAGCCCCTTCAAAACTCTAGACTTGCATTGCATTTGATTTTACTTATGTTCTTTTTAAGTAATTGCTACACCGAATATGGGGCTTAAGATTAAGAGTCGCATGATCTAGCAACTGAGCGACCCAGGTGCCCCTACTTATGTTCTTTTTAAATAACAAAATTTTAAATACCTAAATAAAAATTCTCAAAAGAAGCTTATTATCACTACTATAAATCAAAATCACTGGCAGTTGATATTGGTTTATTCAGGTTTTTGTTACTGTTTTTGTTTTGCCAGACTCCCTTCTAGGAATATAATAGTGATAACATTAGTTATATTTTTAATACATATTTAAATACATATGCAACGAAAACATGTTTAATAATCACATGGCATACTTTAAATACTGAACTAGAAGATCATGTACTTGAAATACCTGAACTTGACCTGATCCAGATCAATAAGCCTCCAAATCTTTGCTATCTTACATAAAAGAGAGAGAGAAACCATAATCATTAAAGAAAAGACTTGCCCCAGATTTAGAGTTCTCTCTTTTGGCTTTTCTTTCTTTAGAAATACAATATATAATATTAAATTATGTAATTGCAATTCAAATTTTACAACTGCCAAATCAATGTGTCAAAGGAGAAAAAAGTTGATGTATGTAATTCATCGCCTCCTTCCTTCTGCCCCAAGGAAAAACACCACACTTGGTTTGCTGCTTTTCACCCCTAACATCTTGCTGACTGGGGATGTGTGATGGGGTGAATCTTAGAGCCTGAGATGGATGTACATTGAAAATGAGAGAGTGACTGGCAGGCAATAAAAGTGTAGATTTCATAGGAGGACAGAGAGAGAAGCAGAGAAACAGGAACTGCTGAGGCTGGGTTTTCAATTAGAAATCGTCATAGCACCAAAGTGCTTCTAAAATATTATGTGTAACCTAGAAAAGAGTAAAAACCCAAAGTTATCAAATGTATGATTAGGACTGTGTAAAATGTACATACGGAGAGAGAGTGGAAGAAAACAAGGAAATGATAAGAAGAGATGTGAAAAAATTACAATTCAATTGGGGTCAGGGAGTTCAAACTGGATTTTTCCAATATGGTTGTGTGGAAACTCTCTCTCTGTTTAGCAACATTTTTACCATTAGCAATAATTATTTACTAAGTGGGGTACAAGGTCATAAATAAGTTCCGTGTGTTTCTTTCATGGTATTTAATCCCAACTTATACATAAAGGAATTTTTCCTTAAGGCAAGGTGTCAGTGATAGATTTGAATTATTTCCTCTATTTGCATGGTTTTAAACAATTACAGCTTTAAGGCAAAAATATTGAGAAGCATGATATGTCAGGAAAATGTATTCAACCTAAGTGCCCAACACACATTTCTTCTCCTAAGGATACCTTTTAGTTTTCTTTTATATATGAAAAATTTTTTTTCTAATTCAAAATGCTATTTTTTCAATATAGAATTTAAGTATGGAAAAATAGAAAAAAAATAACTGATCTCACTACTTGGAGGCAATACTCTTCACAAGTCGTTATGCATCTGTGTGAACAACGAGATTGCTGAGATTCACTCATTCATTGCAGCCATTCACACTTTCATTTGAGACATACTACGAATACACCACGGACCAACTATTATGCCAAGTACTGAGTGTATACATTGGAAAAGAAAACAGATTTCTGTATTCAGCAAGCTTATAGTCACATATATTTAGCTTATTTTCTCTTCGTATTTTGATATAAATATTTCTCTTCTTTTACAAACCACAGTTTTGGAAAATATCACTGTCACTCCTTTGAGGGGCTATGGTCTCGATGAAGCATGCTAGTCCTATGCAAGATTTGGTAGTTAACCATCCTCTTCAGGAGACAAATGACAGGGTGTTTATTTTTTTTATCCAGATGCAGAGTTTTAAATATGAACAAAAACCATCTCACATCTTTCAAACAATTGCCAAAGATACCTCAGATACAGCATTTATCTGTGGCTGAAAACCACATTGAATCTCTGACCGGGCTCTCCAGTTTATGGTGCACTCCACTAGAATCCCTTACTCTCAAGAGGAACCCTTGTGAGTTTCACACAAATTACCGGAGACGGTAAGGCCCCAAACACCTTTGTCATCTGTGTTCTTCTTTGAATGTTATACTTTGACTAGCTGTTCCCCTGGAGCTTAAATTCACTTGGCAAATATTTATCCTATCTATTACATGTTGAACGTTGCATGCTTCTGATCTCACCTAAAGAACTTTGAAGTGATTTTTTTTTTAAAGATTTTATTTATTTATTTGACAGAGAGAGACAGTGAGAGAGGAAACATGAGCAGGGGGAGTGGGAGAGGGAGAAGCAGGCTTCCAGCCGAGCAGGGAGCCCGATGCGGGGCTCCATCCCAGGACCCTGGGATCATGACCCAAGCCGAAGGCAGACGCTTAACGACTGAGCCACCCAGGCGCCCCTTTGAAGTGATCTTTTTTTAAAAAATCTATAATTCACTCTTCTCTCAGTTAACTTATGATTGCTTTAAAATTTTAGGCTTCTCTTATAATGTGACTTTACATATACAAAGGTGCTTCATTTTAGACTTTCAAATCCTATGCGTTTTCTCTCATAATGTTTAATAGATACTATGTCTTTTTAAAGATTTCTATGTACAGATTTCTATCAATGTCCATGTGATAGTTTTATAAATTGTTTATTCTGTTTTTTGTTTGTTTTGTTTTTTGGTAGAGAGAGAGCAAGAGTGAGCAGGGGAGGGGAAGAGAAAAAGGGAGAGAGAGAATCCCAAGCAGGTTCCATACCCAGCACAGAGCCCGATGCAGGGCTTGATCTCATGACCCTGAGATCATGATCTGAGCTGAAATCAAGAGTTGGACACTCAGCCAGCTAAGCCACCCATGCACCCCTATTCTCTGGTTTTATTTTCACTCCTTTGGGTCACAACAGTACCATTAAATGGATACAAAGAAGTAACTGATTCAATCTAACCCAGCGGTTGAAAGTCCTTGAAAACCTGTGAAGAATAAACCATTTTATTCTTTTGTCACTACTGGAACATTCCTAATGGTAATAATGCAATGTGTACCTTGGGGTATGCAGAAAATTCTCTCTCTCCCTAGCTAATTCCCAGCACAGCTTGTGGGAATTTAAAGGGTAAAAACAAGCCACTGAGTTCTAGAACTTGTATTTGCCCCCAGATAACAAGTAAACTCATGTCTCAGTTTGAATCTATCATACAAAGGATTAGATCATTTCTAGGTTCATACCTGATCTATGATTATGTCTTTCATCTACATTCAACTTCAATAAAAGACATAGCTCTCACTGCCTTCCTTTCTCAAACTGCCATTTGCCCATGACAACAACCATATTCCAAGGCCTAGATAATATGACTCTTCAAACTCTGATGTACAACAAAAAATTATCAAAATAAGAATTCTAATCTCTGTTATTCCTACATAAATCTTATTACTGCCATTGTCACCCCCATGACTAGAGACTGAAGGCAAAATTCATGTTCTGTGATCATAAATTCTCAAATTGCTTTTACATAAGTGAAAACTAGCAACATAGTTGCTTTAAAATTGAACTAATATTTAACCATAATAACATTTTGAAGTTTAAAATTATATTTCCTACAGTCAGAGGAGGTTCAGCTGGACATTTCAACATCATTCATAAAAAGGCGCATTTCTAGTCATAAAGGCAATTTATTAGTATTACATTTTAGTTTTGTTAATTTATATGTGGGATTTTATTTTGATCCCAATTCAGTTACTTGCCTCCCTTCAGAGGATGCCTTACAACAATAGAATTAAGATTAAACTGTCTGAAATCTGATATGCCCTGAGGTCTCACTATAAATCTGTCTTCAAAATTTATGATGTGGTATAGAATTATGTGAGAATGAAGGATATAATGAGGTTCTTCTATTTTCTAACGTTAACTCTGTTGGATTGAGTCCAAGGTGGATACAGACGGGCATTCAAGCTATAAAAAGCCAGGTTATATTGACTTGGGTAGTACAGGGTGACTTTAAACAGAAAGATCTGGTCATTTCAAAGTATGAGGAAAGGATTTAAGTATCCACTTCTGCTGAGGAACTAAACTGAAGTCCCAAGTTCATCCAAATTTGGGTTCAGTCACCTAGCCAAAATCCACATTTTGAGGATTATAACAGCATTCATTCTGTCCCTGGGTATCCCTGTGTCCAGGATCTGTGCCAGACCTTCAGTGTCCCTTTAGAACGTAATCAGAATTATTTAAGTATAAGACTTTCTTGGTCATTGTCACCTACAATTGTGACTGTCTTTCCCTTCCTCCTTTGTTTCAGATCCTCCAATAAGAAGAAAGCACAGTTCAAAAGAGAAAAAAACTTACTGATAAAGCTCATAGTATAAGTCCCAGTAGGTAGAAGTCAGCCCCATGTCCGGGGACACCCAGAGGCAAACCCTTTTACTCTTCTTCAGAAGTCAGTGTGATCTGAGTTCACCATAGTTTTACTTTTTGAAAAGAAGTAGTAGCTAGGGTTTCCTGTCAGTTAAGTCTGAACATTAGGGCCGGAAGACTTAGATTTTAATCTTTGCACGGTCTCCCACAGGCTTTATGATCTTGGATAAGTAACTTAAAATGGGGGATAAAAAGCTGACGGAATTGGTGTGAGGATTAAATAAGATGATATGCAGGAAATATTTAGTGCTAAGAAAATTATGTGGCCAAAGAGAGCACCCAACGAGGTTAATACCAACCATTAGTTGTCATGGCATGTCTACTGACAGGTTTCAGTATCTTTCATCCTGGGCAAATCCCAGGACCATTCATTTCCTCTGGTATGAGCCCACAGAACTCCCAGATCTAGAAAAGCTCTCCACTTGAGAGAAAAACACTGCTTTATAACACTGCTAGGCATTTGACTACTTTCACCTGGGTTGATGAGCAGGACCCCTTCCTGAACCTGAAGTGACTGTGTAAATCTGAAATGTGATCTTCAGAAATTCTCTCTGTCAAGAGAAAATAACTCAGCACAAGAATATTTCCCACTCCTTCTCTTATACTTCACAGCCAGAATTCTTCCTTAACTATCATTAAACAACATGTGTTTTCTTTACTTCTTCCTTTTTAAAAAAACTTTTTACTTTCTAATGTGCACTTATATCATTATCTCATTCTTTCTCTCATGGTTATTTGGCTAAATTCCTTCATTTTTTCCCTTTATAGAGCTTTGTAAAAACTGCACTGAAATTCTCATATAAAAACAGACTGTACACAGTCCCACTTCTCTGACCTATACTTATGATCTGTAGAACTATATAGTAGCTCCTGGAGAGGGCAAGCTACAGCAAGGTGATCAACTCCATGAACATAAATAGTATTTTATTATAACCCTATTGTAAAGATTAAAAAAAAGAATAAAATGATAGCCATTCATCTTTTTTGTAATAATAGGCAAACTCCATTCATTCATAAGGAGAGTAAGTGAAAGACAATGCTTTTGTTCTGTACAGTTACTTTTTTTATTTTTAACTTTTGTTCTAGAGTGTTCTCCTGTTTGCCAAACTTAAAAATGCTGGATGGAATCCTGAAGCTACCAGAAGATTCTTCACCACCAGAAACCAATATTTTTTCAAAAATGTGTATTATATCATAATGCAATTTGTATAGAAAGAAAGCAATCACCAGTCTCTAAAAGCTAATAAATACAGGAGATGCATGACTAAATATTGTTGCTTACCATATATATATAATATGTTTATATAGTTTTCCTTTAAATTAGTGATCTCCAGTTTTTTAATTCTATACCCCAACAGTAAATAAATTTTGAGCATACATATAATTTTTATTAAGAAATCTTATACATAAAACACTGGAGAAATATATAATGTATATTTTAAACTTAAAAAAGAGAGATCTTTAAGTAATGGCATAAAAATTTAACATGAATAAAGGCTCTAAGTCTTCCTCCATACTCCAGGGACTCATCTTTCCAGCCTCAAGGCTATGAGTCTTTTACTTTGACCGTACTGCTTCAAATATCTGAAGAACCTATTAAAAGGAAGGGGGACAACTGTGTGATTTTAAGCCACATGCATTGGATTCTCCATTTTGAACATTCTGTCAGTCACTAGTGACTTTGATACAACAGAAATTTAGGAAGGTCCCATGCCATTCATTAAACATTTAGAAAATAATAACGGTAAAGCTTCTTTATGTTCAGAGAATTTTAAAATGCAATTTTAAAGCTGCCTTCCCTATAAAGAATACAATTCAATTTAAATGCTTTCAAAATTTAGAGAAAGGTCAACAATTAGATCAACTTCTGATCTTATATTTTTCCTTATTTATAGAGATCAACTTAGTTGCAGAACTAAGACTTTCCCAAGATGATTCGTCAATTAGATGCTTCCTAGCATGAAATAAAATATTTTCTGGATCATCCTGCCATGAATGAAAACTGCTTATAAAATTATATAACAAAGATTCTAACAAGACCAAGATATAGTTCCTTCCCTCAAGAATCTTATGAATGACTAAAGTAGACAGCACCCACATAAGACCTAAAATATAATAAAATATGTTATAAATATTATGGGAGGAAGTGAGAAGATTTAAGTTATGGGAAGCACCTTTGAGGACTTTATAGAAAGAAGATAATTTGAGGTGTACGTTAAATAGTAACAGACTTCCACAGATAGCAGTGGGTTGTATCAGTCAGAAAACATGACATGAAAAGGGGCACAAAAGGGCACCTGGGTGGCTCAGTCAGTTAAGTGTTTAACTCTTGATTTCAGCTCAGGTCATGATCTCGTGGGCTGTGGGATCCAGTCCTGCATCAGCCTGTGGGCTCAGCGAGAAGTCTGCAATAGATTCTCTCCCTCTGTCCTTCCCCCCACCCATGTGCATGTGTTCTCTCCCTCTCTCTCTCAACCTCTGTATATATAAAGAGAGAGAGAGCTAGAGAAAGAGAGAGAAAAGGGGCACAAAGACCAGAAAGTGTATGTCAGTTAGGAATAGGCAGGCTGCAAAAGTCAAAGCAGATTGACAGTGGCTTAAAAAGACTAATAGTAGTAATAACAGCTATAATTTTTGAGCATCTACAATGTATCAGGCACAGGACAGACACTGTACATTCATTATTTATATCCTCAAAAATCTATGAGGGTCCAGTTGTTCTCATTTCATTAGTAGGGATAGCTGAGGCTCAGAGAGGTTAAATAGTTTGGTGAAGGTGACACAGGTAGGTCACACAACTATTATATGGCAAAGGCAAGATTCAAAGCCTGAACACTTTTCAACACCCTTGCTGCATCTTCTAATAATATAGTTCTAATTCAGAAATTCAAGATGATATTTTTTGTTTCCGGGAACAGTACCATCTCTCATAATCCATCATAAATACCAGCATTTAACCATAATCAAGTATTCTCCGTTCCTTGAACATACCCTAAACCTTCCTTGTTCAAGTCTTTCCTTCCTTCTGCAATACTTTGCCCTGGAGGGTACCCCTAAGAAAATCCTTCCTCCTTTCAATGCCTATTCCAAATACTATTTCCTCCAAAAACTCTTCCCTCATCCTTTCAATCAGATGTTTCCTCTGCAGTTCCAAAGTACTTTAAAAAAATCTTGGTCTTAGGGCACATTTTCTTAATAATGCCTCCACTTGATTTTTATTTACATGTATACTTTGCCTCCTTCCCCCTAAAGGGCTGTAATCATGAAATAAGAACGTGGATACATTGCATTTTAGAGGTTTATGCATGTATCCTTCTGCTTCTCTAAATCAAGGTAGGAAAACATCTTCTGTAAAGAACTAGAGAATAAATATTTTAGGCTTTGTTGGTCATACGGTCTCTGTCATATCCCCTCAACTCTGCCATTATAGTGCAAAAGCAGCCATTGATCATATGTAATGACTGGGTGTGGTTGTGTCCTAATAAAGCTTTATTTACAAAAGTGTGTGGCGGGCTGTAGTTTGCTGACTCCTGCTCTAAATGTTAAGGTCATGTGATTGATTGCTTTACTCTTAAACAATATCCATTGTCCTCTAGGCCTAGATGAGGTGTATATTTCCCTACTCTTTGAATTCAGATGTGTCAAGCAACCTGATTTGACCAGTGAAATATAAGTATAATATAGGTCACTTGTACGCAGAAATTTTGAGAACCAGTTTGTGTTTTGTGACACTTTCTTTTTTTGTGCCATGCCAGCCGACCAATTTCCAGATAAAGACTGCTCCATTAGCCTAGGTTCTGTGGTGAATATGATATGGGGCAGAACAACAGTCATCTTATAGGATGTATAGCAAGAAAAAGTAGACCTATGCTATCAACCCCTGTGATTCCATTTGATGCTGTACCACAACCTAGACTTTCCCAACAAATAGATTGCCTTAAATTTAAGGACTGAAATTTATTCAATCATGTGCCTGCCCCCCCTCCCCAAATAGCAATAGTAGGTACTCAAAATGTTGAATGAATGAAGTCTATTATAGGAAACCATGAATGGGGTGGCAGAATGACCAGGTAGGACACAACTACAGTAGTTTAGGTGAAATGTATTAAAAACTTTAGTAAGGGTAATAGTAGTGAGAATAGAGACAAAAAATGAGGGCATGACACATTGAGGATGGCAGCCAACAAATTGTTTTATTGTTTAAGTTGATTTGAGTTGACGTGTTTATTTCAGCAAAAACATTCTAACTGACAAAGAAAATCATGGGTTTCATATGTGGAAGTTAAGAGGTCCTAGGTGCTGGGTAGTTATGAGGAAGAATGACTAGACTCACTCGTAAGTAAGAGTATCAAGATGTATATCACATTACTCCCAAGGGATAGCCTGTGTAGGGTTGCAATCTCATGTTCTGGTCATAAGAGCTATACATATTTTATGGGCAGGGTGACTAGAGGGAGTTGACTTCAGTTGGTGATGCCTACCTATGCCAGAGGGGAATTGATTGGAGGGAGGTCAATGAACTGAATAACATTCCACCTAAAATTGAGTTTATCATTCATTGTAGTGACAGCAGCTTTGCCCAACAATGGTATTGCTATTATTTCAAATCAATCTGCTCATTTGACCTGTGTAATACTTCCTTGCACCTTCTATAATATCTAGAGATCTGAGTTACTTTCTCCCAAGGCCTAAACAGACTGGCAGACATACTGTCTTGGGAAATACTATGTTGGGAAATATACAGGGATTATTATCAGCAATAGAGTGTATTTGTGGGAATTTTGTGCATAGGCACAAAAGATGGCTGACTTCTAGCCATATCCTATTTAACTGAACAGAACCACAACAAATTCCCATTCTAAAACTTCTCGATACATCCATCCTTCCAAAATAGTTCTTCTCTAATACACTGGAGGCAAAAGACATAAAAGGAATGACCTAATGCCACTTAGCATCTCACATCTAATTTTGTGCCTCAACTTCATTCTTTTCCTAAATGGCATGTGTATGCAGGTTCATGATTATCTGTATGGCTCAGTTCAAAACAGTGGCAGGGATTAAAGTGTGTAGCCAGGACAACTTTCTGACAGAGAGCACAATGCAGATAACTCCTCTGTTAAGAAAATAATCTCAGTGAGAGAAGCTCATTCAGTGCATGAAGAAACCTTACACATCAACCAATCCACCTCCTCACCAGACCCCAGCGAATGCTCATATCAACTCTACAACATCCAGTAAAGGATATTCCAGTTCACATTTGGTAAAATTGAGGAATTATAAACATTTGAGAAAATTATGTTTCATCCATCCTAATCTGTAGGAAGTTCTACCTTATATTGAACTGATGATATCTGCCTTCTACAGCTTCTAATCGATTAAATCTCAGATAAGTATTATTAATTCCATCTTGTAGGGAATTTTTCTCAACTTCCACATTCTTGAAAGTACCCTCATATTTTCTCTTTTTTTAATTTAAATTCAGTTAGCCAATATATAGTACATCATTAGTTTTTGATATGAGTTTCAATGATTCATTAGTTGTGTGTAACACCCAGTGCTCATCACATCACCTGCCCTCCTTAATGCCCATCACCCGGTTACCTCTCCCCTATCCTTCTTTTCTATTTTTATTTACGGAGGAAATGTAGGGTTTGTGGGATGAGGAGGATGGAGGAAGGAGGAAGGATAGGGAAAAGGTAACTAGAAAGAGCAAAAGTAAGAAAAAGGACTTTATTTTCTTCAAGTTCTACACACACCAAGAGAGGAAGATTCCTAAACTGCATTCTTTGCACCAAATTTAAAAAATTAAGTTAGCAAGTTAAAAAAAAAATAAGTTATGTTTTAATTCCTTTAGAAATCATCCACTCTCAAGTATTACTTCCTTCCAGAATAGAACAATTTATCACTAATTGCTGGTCATTATACTACCAAACTGTGTTAATGGATGCCCATCTTCTTAAAGGCTAACTGCAGATAGGAAACAAACTTCTAATTAGTTTTAGAGCTTGGGAGCAGACGCATCAATATTGGAATCATGCAGGTGTGTATTTGCTTATTTGAATTTCTTTTCCTCTTCAAAAGAATAAGTATTCTGAGTTCCGTTTGGAGTTTCTAAAAGGTCGCTCCAAAACTTATATTACTTTATAAAATTCAGAGTGAAATCTGTTAAAATATATATATATATAATATATATTTCCTACAAACTTTCAGCATCCTTGAACTATAAGCATTTTAAGGTACTTTTCACTTTAGAGTTTATATTCTAGTTA